TTCACGTAAGAGCAACCTGATAAGTCCTTAATATGATTTTGGACACATCGGTGGCTCTACCGTGATCACTACTAATAAAGAACATTAGTACAAGTTGTGGTAATTTTTTTTTTCCCTTTCCCTCTGGCTTCAGTGAAACTTAGAGAACCACAAAGGGCCTCTCTAAGTCTTAGGGACAGAAACTTTGGATTAAAACTTTAGGGGAAGGCTTATATTTCAATAACCAGATTTTACTAAAAAACAAAACAAAACAAAAACTGGCCATTTGGTCATTTGTATGTAGGACCACTGTGACATGTAATGTGTCTTTAGATGCCTTAGGTGTGATGGATTGCCCCTTCACTTTGACAAAGGACTTGGCATAGATTTATTAGCATTTAACATTATGCAAATGAAGCATAACATACAAAGACATCTAGACAACACAAATGTAAGGTATCTGCTCACTTGATAGCTGCTTCCATAATACCATGACCATATTTATATTGATGTGAAAACATATGATCATTTCATATCAACCATACACTTATGGCTAAATGAAAACACACCTTAAGCTCTAAATTTATACAAGGCATTGAAATGTGTTGAAATGACCATTTTCTCATTACAAGGGTGCAATGATTTCCCTTTATGAGAATCTGTGGCATCGCCTGAATAGCTTTAATATTTCTTTGTTAAATGATAACTAAAATATATGTCTTATTAAATTTTTCTTATAAAAATGAGAACTACCTTTCAAACTGAGTAATACTCACACGTAGTCTCCATTCACTCCTTTTAGTCATGCTTATCTCTTTTGTAAACCTATTTTACATAACATTCAGGGTCCTCCCCCTTGCCCTCCCTCCCCCCCGCCCCCCCCCCCCCCAGTTTTCTCCAGTAAAAAATGATATGTTTTCAGGACGGTTGTTGAAATTGGTGTACCTCCTAGTTTCCTCGCTCTTTGTTCTCTGATGGGTGATGTACTGTGAAGAATAGGCAGAACTTGGTATTGACAATAATACCCCTTGACAGGGCAAAATAAAATGTGCTGGGTAGTTCCGACTGGTTTTATTTTGTTTTCAAGCAATAGCTCTTGAACTGAGCTTCATCAGTTTCTAATTTGGGGGACTATCTGAAATGTAAACTTTATTTATGTTGGGGAATCAATTTCTGCATTTGAGAAAAGGGAACATTCAAACATTTGCCTCAGTTTTAATGCTTTATCTAGAATGTTTTAACTGAAACATTTATTCTTTTTTCAGGTACATTTTTGTGCCTAACTTATTTAAGTGCCCAAATGATTATTGCTTCTTATTCATTCCAATGAGTAAAGTCAGACTTATGTGCTTAGATTTATCATAAGTCAAAAGTGATGATCTGTATAGGGGGCTCTTAACAGATCATTTTCCAGCAACTGATACTTTCTGAAAGATGATATCTCCTTGTCTGTTTTCCTATATGAATATGTGTAATGAATTAGGCATCTTTTCTCTCTTGAAGGAACAGCTTCTTTTCATTCACAATATTATATCCTGGTTTACATCTGCCTAATTTTAAAAGGAATAATACTTTTGGTCTTAGATTGCCAAAAATATCCAGTTTATCTTTGGGGAAACTGATCAAAACTTTGTGTGACATATATATTTGTATATATATATGAACACATATCATAATCGAGCTTTGTGAAGCCCTAAGCTTTAAAATATTAAATAAATTTCTGTAACGACGTATCGGTGTAGGTAGAAAGAGTTTAGATTTCTCCAGAGTTTGTCAATCAAAAAATATAAAACTTAACCAAAAGCTAGGTCCTTTGCTAGTGTTCTCTTACCAAATTCGTAATATTTGGTAAGAAAAGACCTCAGTTTGTAGCAAATACACTCTGATAATATATATTTTGTGGAATAAATATGCATAATATTCTGTTAGAATTAATAATCATAGATACAAGCAATACTCAAATTAAAAAAAAAATACCCTACTAGAGTTCTCTATCCTTGCCTCTAGCAAACCAAAAGTTGAGCGAAAATTGTCCCACTCCATTAATGCATGATTAAATTCATGGAAACAGAAAATAAAAAGCCAATTTCTTCTAGAACCTGAACAGAGTATAAATAGCATAACTTGCCTTTTTCAAGAGGGGAATGAAGGTTGAATTTGCAATTAACTGGAATTCTAATTCAGACAATTCAGCAATATGGATGTGGACGAGGTCAGGGTACCGGGCAATGCGTAGGTTTCTTTTAAGTGGTTAACAACCTTGAATTGATGCAGTTTGAACTATAGCTTAATGAGGGATTTGTTAATCTCTGGAAAAGCTATAGACCAAAGATTCACTTCATCTTGGCCTGGTGATTTATCTGAAAGTCATGGACTTGATTCTTCTTGTACTATTTCAGTCTGCAGACTGGAAAACCTCTCCCTTTACACACTGAGAATTCCCACTGCAGTGAATGGAGGGCCTGTGTGTGTAAAGAGCACGTGAGCAGTGGGATTCAGGCCCAGAGAAAGAAGATGTCGAGTCGCCTTGGAAAAGAATTCATACACCACGTGTTCACAGCTTCTTGACAGGTATAATTATCAATGTGGTCTTTTCCTTTTACTATGTGCTGGGATTCGGAAGCACGGTTTCGAATTTGTGACTATCAGATCTTTGATCAGGTAGCTTCTCTCTAAGGACCTGAAAGAGGGGGAAAGAGTGAAGGGAAGCCAGTGATTAGTATTCATTTGTCAATGACAATATGCTAAAAATATCAAAAGAGCGTGTGCTATGTGAGAACAGCAAGAATTATTTTAGGCCCTATCATTCATGCACAATATTCCACATATGAAAAAAAAATCGTTTGATGTTTGCAAAGGAAGTAATTATCAAATGGGGATGGAAAAGAAACAGTTATTCCCTAAAATGAAATACAGAACACCAGTTGGGAAACATTTCAAGTGTAAAACATTTCTTCTTCCCAGTTCCAGATGACTCTTTTTCTTCATGAAGGCAAAGGATAGTTAACTTTTACAGTGTGATTCTTAGGGTTGGGGTACAGCCGGCAGAACCTCTCTCTGATAGGCAGGAAGCCCCAGCCTCCTTGCTCTGAAGCAGATTCTCAGACCCCTTTCTTCTCGCACAAGGTCAGCCTGACACCAAGTAGAACGGAGTACGCAGCTGCCCATGTGGTCAGATCTGGAGGATCAGCCTCCGTGAACACTCCCCTCAAGACCTGTCACTCTTCTCCCATCATGGAATCTTTCCTTTCAGAGAGAACAGTGGTTTCTGATCTTTGTTTTTAAAGCTGCAGATATTTTTATGCCCATGAATGCAAAGCATCATATACAAAGCAGATTTTTATAAACTGTGGCAGGCCTTGCAATTGGCCTACTTTGCATCAACAGCCTCCAGCTGGCATGCCTTCTGCAGATGTGCTTAAAAACCCCTGGGTGGGGGCTTCATAGCCACGCACAAGGCCATTGTGCTTCTTTAAGCCCCACTTAAGAACATATCACACGCAAGCACCACCTGGTACCGACGTTTTCCCTCCTACAAAGCGACCACTAATCTACTACTATTGAGTGCTCACTAATCGCCACATATTTTGTTAAAAGTTCTACGTATTTTTTCCTTACTCAATCTCCATAACAGACCATTTCACTGAGTCTTCTATTGAATAACTTCCCATAGGTCCCCAAGTTAGCAAGTGACAGAGATCTAGAGACTGAATTTTTTAATGAATTAATTTATTATATAGTACATGTCCCAGGGGAATGGGCCTTAGAACAACAGGTGAATTTTAGTAAATTCCAGAGGGTGGGGAGGGAGGAGGCCTGAGGGATATGCCAGGAGCTGAGAGATCACCGGGCATCCAAAATGTGGGCCGCTGAAATACCCACTGGGAAGAACCATCTGCACCAAATGTTCTCATTATTTCTCTCATCCCCTTGATTTGTAATTCAACAGATCAGTGATTTTTTTTTTACTTGTTTAAATAAAAGCCTTTTTTCCCATATTAGTGTAAATCTTATTGCTCAAATTGCTTTGCTAACTTTTAAATGAGCCGTTGTGATAGACAGAATAATGGACCCTAAATCTATCCTCACCTTAATCCCTAGAATCTGTGAATATGTTAGATCCCACGTTAAAGGGAGATTAAAGTTGTAGATGGAATTAAGGTTGCTAAACAGCTGATGTTAAAACAGGGAGATGATCCCAGATTGTCCAGGTGGGACATATAATTAATATCATTAAACGTGGAAGATGGAGAGAGAAGGAGGAGCCAGGGAAGGGGGGTGTGATGAGGAAGCAGAGGTCAGAGCAATGCAGTGTGAGCACTCAGCCACCCTTGCTGGTTTTGAAAATGGACAAAGGACCACGAGGCAAGGAATGTGGAGAGCCTCTAGAAGCTAGAAAAGGCAGAGAAATGAACTTTCTCCCTGGAGCCTCTTAAAGCCCAGAGAGACTGTACTGGACTTCAGATTTACAACATAATACATTTATGTTCTTTTGAGCCACCAAATTTGTGGTAATTTTTTTTTAAGGCAGCAGTAAGACATGAATACAGCTGAGGTGATGGAGTACTTTGAAGTGTGGGGTAAATGATAAGGGGGAGTTGGATAACTCTAACTCTAACTAGCATGAGAATGAATCCCTGGAAAGCTCATGTGAAGATGTCTGTGAGGAGGGAGGGGGGAAGTCAGGGCAGGTGCCATCGAAGAAAGAAGTAGAGTAGTAGCACAGCGGTGGAGAGAAAGAGGCTTTGAAGCCTGTGTTTCTGGGTTTGAGTCTTGGCCCTATCACTTATGAGCTGTGAATTGTGGATAGGTTTTTAAAAAAAAATCCTACCTGCCTCAGTTTCTCCCTTTAAAATGAGATTAAAAATAGTACCTACCACCCATAGGATTGTTGTGAAGATTAAGTAATTGAACATAGATGAAGCACTTAGAAGAGGTTTTTGGCATACCCTTAATTGCTTAATAAATGTTATCCAGCATTAAGGTGATTATTGCTATTATTCCGGTTTTCTGCTTGGTAACTCTGGGTTCCTTGGATTCAAGCTTATCAGAGTCGTCCTTTGAGGCTGGTTTCCTCAGTTCTGCAGTGGTTCCCGGGATCGGACCCGAAGGACGGCGGCTGTGGCAGTGGTCGTGGGAGGCCAGAACAGTCGGGAGCGGACAAGGGAAGGGAAACGGGGGCCTGACAGTTGGTGAGGCCACTGCTAAACTCCAGCTACTTTGTAAATCTTTGACGATCCAGCCTGGTTTCAAATGCAGTGAATTCTCCGCTGTCAATGCAGCAATAGGTCAGAGAAATTTGACAATCTTTTAGTCTTGACTTCCTCAGAATGTTGACAACTCAGGAAGGATTCCTCTTCCTTCCTCCTTTTATTCTTTGAGAATCTGGGTGAAATATGGAAGTCTATAAAATCACGATTTAAAAAATAAGATGCCTTAAGCTGAATAAATGTAATGCTCTTTGTCAAGAAAGTGGGGATAGCATAAAAATAGCCATACTCCTAACCTCTGTTTAGGTTTCTATAATTCGGTTGTATAGTGATCATCTCTATTACCTTTCAGAAAATGTAATCTACTCCTGAGTATCACACATGGAAGTTAGGGGAAAAGACAATTGAGTTTTATTTCAGGCGAGTTTGAAATTAAAAGTGGGCATAAGAGATAAGTCTCCACACACCAAATTAGCTTCAAATTTCTTCCCCAAAGCAACCATAGTATGAGTTAGGAAGTGTAGCAAATCCCATTTAATCCTTAAAATTTTAATTAATTAAGAGTTGAACAAGAGCTAATGTAGGTCTCTTTGACTGAATTCACCATAAAATCCGTGGATGACCTGACTCGGTACGACGTCGCTCGTACTTGGAATGGCCGCTACAGGCATTGGCCTCCCAAAAGGCCACGAGCGTGTGTGTAGCGATGGCTGTCTTGGCAGGCATAAATATAAATTGCATGCTCATTTAAACAGAACTTTCCCGTACCCTCTACAAGAAAAAAAAACTGTTTGTAAACGTCTTTTATTAAAAAATGTTAGTCTTTGGCGATGAGACAATAGGAAATTCTGAAGTGATTTAATGAAGACTGATGGAGCAGAGAAATGAAATGGAGTGCACGGCCCAGCAAATACTGATGGCCAAATAGTATCCTTCCAAAGATGACTGAATGGGTAGAAGAGTGGAAGCTTTTAGTAAGACCTCAGAAGTCTGCATGGCAACACATTTCTTTCAAAACACTTTAGAATAATTTTACTGTGGGCCAGTGTGGCAAATCAATTAGGAAAACAGTACAAGTTCACATTATTGAGGATGGAAGACAAAAATGAGTTAGTGGAAAGAGTTCCATGTTCTACTAAAGAACTATGGATTGTTATTAGACCTTTGAAGGGATTCTGACAGTACTGAGTGAGGTAAAGTACCTTTGTATTCAGAATGGATTAGAGAGGAGAAAGATGTGGGCAAAATGACTTGTCCAGATGCATCCTTATCACTCCATCCCAACCCTATCCTCCTAGTCCAACCACCATATCGCTTGCCTGGACTACTCTATAACAGCCTTCTAATTAGTCTCTGCTCTCACTTTTACCTTGCAATAATCTGTTTTCCTCAGAACAGCACGAGTGATCTTTTTTAAAACATAAATCAGATGTCAGTCCCTTGCTTAAAACCTTTGGTGGCTTCCACTGCAATAAAATCTAACTTCCCTCAGTGATTTAAAAAGCTTTCTGTGACCTGGCCCCCATCTATCTCTCTGTCCTTCCTCATTATTTCCTAACTAACTACCCCAGCTTTCTTTCTATTCCTCAAACATCAAGTGGCTCATGTCTCTCTTAGAGCTAGGCACTGGCTAGTTCCTCTTCTTCTTCTTCTCATTTCTGGCTTCTCCTCAGCATTCAACCCACCTTACACGTCATCTCCTTTGAGACGTCTCCCCTGATCACCTAATAGAAGGTTGTCACCTAGCCAGTGTCTATCAGAGCACTCGATTTTAACTCTGTGAAGTACTGGTCCCAATAGGTTATTTTCATTTACCTGGATATTAACTATCTCCTCCAACCAGGATGTAAGCACCATGAGCGCAAGGACTTTGCTTTGCTCAGGCTGTTTCTACCGCCCACTGAACAGTGTCGAGCCCATGGCAGTACCAAATAGATCCTTACTGTTGAATAAATGTAGTTTTTAGAGTGAATGGAAGGTGATTTTAGATGAAGTCACCCAACTATGGGATATATACAATAAAAACTCACAAGCTATGAAAGAAAGATAGCTGAATTCTCAGCAGTGTCTGAGGACAAATCCTGGAGTCTTTATACTTCCCCACGTAGCTTCTCCTTTTTGTGAGTGTCACAAACCATTGAAAGTCTCATGTCATATCCAGTGTTTCTGGTTGTGCAAATAGTAGTCTGATAAAACCACCACTACCCATTGTCATTTTCCCAAGAACATCTGAGCCTCCCTTCAAAATCCCATTTGCAGACATCATAGCGGAGAGGTGTGTTATGCTATTAACTGTCTCTTCCAAAGGAGAGCAAGGACAATTTATAGAACTCCAGACTATCTGATGTTGGCAGATGAAATGCCTGCAAGAGCAAAAAGGGAAATATATTCTATGTTACTTGAAAGTGTGATTATGAGGGCTCCACGAAGCCATTGCAACTTCATATCATTCATCTAAAAAATGGGGTTTTAGGGATACTTACCTGGAAGGGTTTTTCTGAGGATAAGGAATAACATGGGAGAAGAGCCTAGCACATAGGAAGCACTTCAAAGATGGGGATTCTTACTCCTCACGTTTTTTTCCCTGGCTTTTCTTAAAAAAGGCAAAGTAGCAAGACCTGACTGAGAATTTTTGTCACAGTGGAATTTAGAAAAAAGGCAAGAGCATCACATTTTCAGTGAGCACCCACAGAGAATTTCAGATTTCTCAGAGCGCGCCCACTGGCAGGTCTCCATGTCTTTCTCCATGGAGCAGTTTTCCAGTAATTTGTATCAGTATTCTAAAGGGCTCTTCCCAGGATCGGCACTATACGGTTGTTTAGTTCGTACACTGTGCAAAGGCAGCTGGCCAAGAGGGTGAGCGGGGGGCTGGAATCCAGCCCCCACTCTTGTCACGGAGCTCTGTGCCCGGGGATCTGGGTTGCACAGAGGCTGCATTTTCCTCATGTGCCTAAAGGCATCCTATAGTCTGTACCCGGCCCTCCCAAGCACATGATTTTCCAAAATATCTTACATTTGCAGAAAATATGGCTGAATGGCATTATAAAGTAAGCGACGGTCTTGTTTACATTTTCTGAGGTCATCGGGTTTTTTATTTGCTTGACTGATTCGGGCGGGGGCGCTGTCATAACCTAATGATTGTATCCCAGCTGCCTCAGAAACCGCATTAAAACCCGAAACGAACTTGTAGGTGTCGGGCGGTCGTTGGTGCGGAAGAAGGCGCTCCTCACCTAGGCCATGTGGTTCTGCTGTGTTTGTTGCTGCCGCTGCTGTTGTTGCTGCTGTCGGCGCCGGGCGGTCCGGAGCTTTTCGAAGCGCGCCTCCATTTCTTCCAGGACTTTTGGGGTGTACCGGACCACCAGCTTGACGCTGTCTTTGGCAGCCTTGAGCAGTTCCACAGCTTTCTCGTGGTGCTCGCCTTCCACGCTCTGGAAAGACAGTGACAGCTCTTAAAGGGGAGAGCTCGCATGTTCCTCTCCCTGCGGGACCAGTCTGCCGCCAGGATCAAGTTAAAATCCCACTTTGACACTGTATGGTGACTGACGTAACATAATAAAATTAAATTAAATGTAAAAAAAAAATAAAAAAATAAAAAAATAAAATCCCACTTTGAAATGTCAAGAAGCGGCAGCAGATGGGATGCATTGCCATCATCACTATTCTTTATTGTGTTTGAGGTGGAAGTGGAGGCAGGTTAGGATGCACTAGGGTGCAGAACGGATTGAGTGGGGCTTCAAGTCTGGAGGGTGAGAAGCCATCAAGACCTAAGATACCGCGCTAACGTTTAGCGTGGGATTTCTAAATTTCATCTGCAAGAGTAAATGCACTGGTCAAGGAAATTCTGAAAGAAGTAAAAAAAAAAAGTAATAAAGGGGAACTTTCCCTATCAGATATTAACGTTATTAGGGATCTATCATGATTAAAGCAGTGTCTTGTTCTTGCAGTAAGAGAGAGAACACAGAGTCCAGAAGCACATCCAGCGTGTGTAAAACTTTGTTATGTGATAAATGTGGAATTTAGACCAAAGGGGGAGAGGACTGTTAAATAATGATGTGGAAACAAATAATAATTAAATGATAGAAAATAACGTAGAGCCCAGTCTCCTAGTCTATGCTAAAAATAACTGATTAAAAATTTAAATGGAAAAATAAAACCATAAAACAACTAAAATGAAGCAGAGCTGAAATGTTCATCTTGCAATGGAGAAAGAACTCTTAAGTAAAAATGCCAATGGAAAAAAAAATCACAAAATCAGATTTATAAATTGTAAGTTTCTGTATCTCATATACCATAAAAAGGCCAAATAACGAACAAGAAAAAATATTTTTAATATATGACAATTCGTTCACATTCTTACCATGAAGAACTCTTGAGTCTATGAAGACCTAAGCAAAATGGGCACATGAACTCAGGATGTCTAAGCTCCCTTGCAATGAAAGAAGTACAGATGAACACAAAATATTTCCTTTATAATTATAATTTAAAAATGGTGAATATGTATTTTTAAAAATGTGTATTTCCAAGGATGTAGGGAAATGGGACTGTCATATACTGCTAGTAACTTAACACAAACTGGCACAATTTTTCCAGAGGGCATTATTGTTATGCATTGAATAAGCCCCTTATAAAGAATAATTTATTTTCAGAGAAATTTACTAAGGATATAATCATATGCATATATGCACACATACCTATAAGGTAGGAATGATGAAGCAGAAAGCAAAAAATAAATCACTTCTTGGCTTTTGAGTTCCAAGTCTTTTAAACATCATGGTACAGATAATAGCTGGGAAACCATGTTTTTACTACAAGTAAATACAAAGAGGTCTCTTTTCCCAAACCTTCTAAAGATTCTCCAGGTTGGGATTAGGGAGAAGCAAAACAGAAGAAAGCTGTAATCGGACATTACAGGGCCCCAAGAAAAGGAGATAATCTTCTCTGTCAGCTGATCCTCAGGGCAAATGACCTAATTCATATTTTATAGGATCAAAGTGCAAAGGTCTTTTTGACTTGCTTCCTGGATGAAGCTCCCAGAAGAAAACATCTGCGTGAGGAGATAGGCTGAGAGAGTGCAAGAACACCTGAGAGTGGACGCAAGTGGCCAGGAAGGCCACCCCAAATTGGTTGAGATCACATTTTACAACCCAAGCAGAAGGGGGACTAAAAATGGATATTACATTGAGTTACAAAAAAATAAAATAAGTAAGTTGCACTTCAAGCACACTTCAGTTATATCTGGAAACTCATAATTGCTACATTATACAGATTTGGAGACAAGAGATTGTGTTCCAATTTTATCACTTGCTTCAGCAAGGTGGATGTGGTCCGAGAAAAAGAAAATGCTTTGAATTTAGCAACAAGGCAGCCATCATGGTGTGTAAGAACGCTATTTCATCACGTGTTGGAGTATTAGGCAGATACTAAGGATTTAAGAAACGACCATGATGAGCCCTGGAGGCAATTTACAGAGCCACCCCTTCACCAAGTCTGGGGTAAATCGAGAGCAAGTGGTTATAAATAGCAGCTGGGCAGAGTGAGTTTTTGCCTGTGGCTCAAGCCTAGGAAAATAGGCTTGTTCATTGATCAATTCATTCTCTTAATTATTCATTCAATCATGGACTTGGTCACTCACTCAACAGATGCTTATTTAGCATTTATTCTATGAATTCTATTCTACCAAGTTCTTTGGAAGAACGCTAAAGGATAGGGGAAAACTTTGACAATTCTGCACAATATCATCCCTGTTTTCAATGTGCTCAAAATTTCTAATTTGCCTCAAGATGAATTGTTAAGATATGAAAATCTCCTTCAAAAGGAAATCTGGGCTACTTGGTTGTTTATGCCTTTCTCTAATTTCTTTTTTAATATTAACATTTATGTGTTTATATATCTCAGTAACACTGGTTCACCCGTTTTCTAGGCCAGATGATTAGTCTCCAAACTCCTTTTTGGCTTTTGTTCTGTTTGCTTTCATTTAATAGGGTTGGAAATTCTAGGCCAGACCTTTAGAGGCCCATTATCTCCGTGTAGGCATTATGCCTGCAGTTTAGAGTTGCCACGGGAGGGTTGTGGTACTAATACATGGGGCCATCAAGCTCTCACCATAGGGACAAAGAGCTGCGAGAAATATGGCTGGTGTGCCGTATCCAGCCCCACTGAACCATCAAAGTTACCCTCTCCCACCCCAAACTCTGTTGTCCCCCAGAGTTAGCAATTTATTAAAAAGCAGACTCCATGGGCTTTGAATCTAGAATTGTTGCCCTGATGTTCTTTCTCTGGTTTAGATGATGACTCAGCCTCCTTTGGGCTCACCAGAGTTAACAGGTCTCCTGGTTTAACTCTACCTTTTGCTTTGCTTTCTTCACCAGGGCACAGAACCTTCTGATGGGATCTGGGCAGAGTGTCATATGTCTGCTTCCAAAAATGCTTTGTTCAAATAATACAAGTTATATAATTGAATGGTACAAGAGAAACTAAGAGGTAACTCAGAGATTCGGGAAATATAAGTATGTTTGTAGAATGTACTATTTCAAACACTCTTTAACTTTATTTTTCAATTGTTTTCAGAAAAATGTTTCAACTCTTGTCTTAATGACTGATCTGGATGGCTTCTCCATGGGCTTTGCCTACTTTATGAATACTTTTGAGTGCATATGGTTGCCTCTTTAACATATAGTTTATCTTCTGAGTGCTTTTAGTCCCTCAGTTCAACTTTTTGGAAGAATAGGCTGGGGCGCCTGGGTGGCTCAGTTCGTTAAGCGACTGCCTTCGGCTCAGGTCATGATCCTGGAGTCCCTGGATCGAGTCCCGTATCGGGCTCCCTGCTCGGCGGGGAGTCTGCTTCTCCCTCTGGCCCTCCCCCCTCTCATGTGCTCTCTCTCATTCTCTCTCTCTCAAATAAATAAATAAAATCTTAAAAAAAAAAAAAAAAGGAAGAATAGGCTGTTTTTTCTACTTTTTTTTTTTCTTTCTTTCTTTCTTTTTTTAAGGTAAGAACGAAAAAGCAGATCACCTTCCCATGGAGGTCTTATTTCATGCATAAAAAGAAGCCAAACTATCTGCTCAGTTAGGGTATACGTGTTGATGCGCAAACACTTGTTAATAGGTATTCCTTGAGCCCTGAAAATGTATCACCTATCCCTAACTTTTGGCTTGTTCTACTACTCACTCTTAATGAAAGTATGCCTTATTTCGAGCTAAATATTTAAAACATGTTTTGAAATGTAATAGTTTATTTGTCGACAATTGAACTGTTTCTATCAAAGCTGTACATATAAAAGCCATCCTGATTCAGAAATTGTCCTCTGTGACACATCGCTCAGTTGGGGCAGTCACTGAAAACCTGCAGCACCAGCTTGTCACAGAGCAGGAAAATGTGGCCCTTCAGTAATTTGGAGAAACTTAGCGAGGCTTCCCATTTTAAAGCAAAATCCCCTCTTGCATTTAAAATTGGAAATTCTGTATGATTAGATTTCATTCTCTTGCTTTAAGAATTGTGGTGTACCTACTGCAATTTTAGGAACTCATAAGCAAGGATTCATTTAGTAAAGACATCTGGTAAAAGTTAAATATTATTAAGAAGGCGAGGGGTGGTAAAGAAGGCATGGGGGAATAGTAGGTACCTAGGAAACATTTAGACTAAGAGAAGTATGGCCCTGAAAGAAAAAAGGCCCTAAAGAGAAATATTATCGACCCCACAGTTATGCATACTTTGGCCATGATCATTCACTGAAATGAAGTAAAAGACATTTCTATCCTGAAAATAATGTATTTCTCCTGCTAAATCTTTTAAAAGTATACATAGAAATCAATATGAGAGAATTTAAATCATTTTTTGTCACTTCCAAATGCATAAATACAAGCTAAAAATAGTAAATTGATATAAAAATCATAATCCTGTAATGTTAATATGTAAGAGAAGATATTTCATTCAGGAAGCTGGGAAAAAAATAACTCAGTAAAAACCAGATGCGTACTGGTTTCATCAGCAATCTTATGCAGTTGTAAGCTCTAGGAAGCTTTAAAGTTAGTTAATTTGATGAAAGTTTAGTAAGTCAGTGACTGGTAAATGAACCAACTTAACAACATGAATACCTTCTGATCTTTCTTTTTTTTTTTTTTTAAAGATTTTTTTTTAATTTATTTTTTAGAGAGCGAGCGAGAGAGAAACAGCATGAGAGGGGTGAGGGTCAGAGGGAGAAGCAGGCTCCCCGCTGAGCCGGGAGCCTGATGTGGGACTCGATCCCAGGACCCTGGGATCATGACCTGAGCCGAAAGCAGACGCTTAACCATCTGAGCCACCCAGGCGCCCATACCTTCTGATCTTTCAATAGCTCTTCTATTTCCACAGGTTGGGAGATATCAAAATGGTTGCTATTTCATGGTATGCTCAATTTCCTAGTTGATTAAGAATCCTCTCTAATAAAAG